ATTCCATTTTTCACAGGGCAACAATTCCAAACATGAGAGTCATGACTTGCACCACCAAATGATGCATCCTTATGCAAAATATGTAAGTCTGCATCACACATCTGTAACAAGAGTATAACATTAAGGTTTAAACAACTATTTTATTACATATGAGTATCACATTCCAAGAAATTATTATTTTTGAAAAGTTATGGTTTAAGGGTCAGGCCGCCATTTTTTGCTGATTTTGAAAACTGTTTTCTCCGCGGTCAGTATTTTGAAAAGTATTATAGATATCGACCGGATTTTCGATGACGGCTTTGGATTAAGCAACAAAGTGACTCAAGTAGACATTATGATTATTTCAGGTCAGATAATAAACAAAAAATATATTTCGAATGAAATCTGAAAAAAGGTAGTAAAATTACATAAAAACTTCTATCCGCCGAGGTAGAGGTGCACTTTAACTATCGTAGTAGCAAAAAGTATGTCAGTTTTTGAGACATGGCTGATACTATAAGAATACTTATATTAATAGCTATCCGTGCTTTTAATTTAGCAACGTTTATCCTAAGAATTTCCTTGAAAATGATTTCAAATAAGTTTTCGACAAAAACTTTACTTATACGCCACTTTTGTCAACGCCACCTATTTTCCATGTTCTATTAAACTTTAGGAATCGGTGAAGTTCAAATCGGGAAGTGGCAACACTGAGTTTCTGTAATCTGTGGACAGCGGCTTGATGAGCGGCTATATTTTTGACAGTTGACATGTGAACGTCTGGTGTAGTTTGTGTACACAATTTTTTCAAGGTAAGATTTTTGTGCATAAAAAAGTAAGTTTGATTGTTACACGAAAAACAAATAGTGCATCATGTTAGTAGAAGTGAAAGCCATGTTTGGAGCTATAGTGCAACTCAAATCATACTTTATTTACAGAGATTTAAGTGGTTTTCTCAACGCGACGATAGCGTAGAAGTAGAAATACGCCACCATTTTGGTACTTCAACGCCAACGGTAGCGTAGATATTCGTCACCTCCTCTACGCCACCAAATAAAGGTAGGTATCAACTCGTTTTTATTATACTAACTTTTTACCTGACTGCCGAAGAAAGGAGGGTAATGTTTTTCGAGAGTGTATGTATGTATACTAACTAAACCCATTCGTGTAATTTCAGCTTGTATTTCTTAGGCTGCAAGGCATAGATCACGGTAACATAATGGTCAGTGCATCTGCCCGGATAGCGGAGGGTGCAGTTTCGAGTCCCGTCTGCTGCCTGGACCGCGTGGATTTTTTTTTTAGTAAAAATTTTCTTTAGATTTATAATCTAGCAAATAAATGCTTTAAAAAAAATATATAATAAATGTCTAGTTGATTATAAAATTGTTGATGTTTTTATTTACTTAGATATAGGGAACTACTTCTTATTCTAAATTCAACGAGCTGGTCCATTAGTGGGGGTCCATTATTAAATTGTGTTCATTATTAGATGTCCATATTTGGTGCATGTTCATCACTGGATGTCCATTAAATGATTTTCCTTGTCCATTACTGCGCGCACTTACAGTGACAGTTGCGAAACATTTGCGGAATTTATTTTGCATTCGTTAAGATGGATCTCGAGGAGTCAGTTGTCTGTGCACTCGTCATTAGAAATAGAAAAAGATGCAAGGGTAATAAAGAACATTGGGTGCATCCACTATGGAGTGATAGACTGATAAATGGAAAGTTCCACATAATGTTTGCAAAGCTACGTAATTATCCCGATAAATTCTTTCGGTTCTTCCGAATGAGTGTTACAAGTTTTGATGAATTATTACTTTTATTAAAACCTACTATAAGTTATGAAAACACAAGAATGAGATTATCCATCCCTGCTGAAGAGAGACTGGTAGTAACCTTAAGGTGAGTTTATAAAATAAAATAAAATAAAATAAAAAGCTTTTTATTCCATATCCATTGGTTACTTCTACATTTTATTTATGTTAGTTTGTTAGTAAACCTAAGTATTATGTTGGTTTTTAGTATTTGTTAGTACAGTTTCAGACATGGATCCCATCTGGGTAAAAGCCTCCTCCATTGCTTTCCACTTTTCTCTATCTTTCCCCGCCTTCAGCCAGTCCCTGCCTGCCACAGACACAATATCGTCGGACCATCGTTTTCTGGGTCTGCCTACTTTTCTTTTGCCTTTTGGTCCGGACCATCCAGTGGACTTGAGGGACCACCTTTTGTCGGTATATCTTGACAGATGACCCGCCCATTTCCATTTAAGTTTAAGGGCCTGTTCCAGAGCATCTGTTAGTCCAGTTTTGCTCCTTATGTCTGTACACCTTATTTTGTCTATTCTCCTTAATTTTAGCATGCTTCTTTCTATTGCTCTCTGGCATGTAGTAATTTTGTTTTTTATTTTATTTGTATAAACCCAAGTTTGACATCCGTACAGTAGGCTTGGTAATAGGCATGTGTCTACTACTGTCTTTTTTAGTGATATATCGAGATTGCCTTTTAGGATTTCTTTGTGTGCCCAATATTTCTTCCATGTAGAATTTATTCTTCTATCCACTTCTTCTTCGTTACTGTTTGCTCTGAATGATACCTGTTTTCCTAAATATATATATTCATTTACATATTCTATATCTTTTTCTTCAATTGTTATTGGTTTATTTTCTGCATTAGTCATTATTTTCGTTTTGCTAGGATTCATGTGTAATCCCACTATTTTACTCTGTGTGTCCAGTGATTTTAACATATTTTCTATTTCTGGAGCTGTTTCTGCAAACAAGGCAATATCGTCGGCAAATCTTAGATGACTTAGGTGTTGATTTTGTATTATTATACCTTTATTCTTCCATTCTATAGATTGGAATATATTTTCTAGGACAGCGATGAACAACTTAGGTGACAGCGGATCTCCCTGTCTAACACCTCTTTCTATTTTGATTTCTTTCCCATAGTTTTCTAATCGCAGTCTGCTTACACTGTTACAGTATATGTTTTTTAAAATATTTATGTATTTATTATTTATTTTACATGTGTTGAGTGCTTTCCATATTGAACTGTGTGTAATGCTGTCGAAGGCCTTTGTATAATCTACAAAGGCTATATATAATGGTCTGTTGTATTCTTTATACTTTTCCATGATTTGTTCTATTGTGTGAATATGATCTATTGTTGAGAAATTTGAACGAAATCCAGCTTGTTCGGGTGGTTGGTGGTTATCTATATTAGCAGCTATTCTTGCAGTTAGTATGGATGTGAATAGTTTGTAGGTGCTTCATAGTAGACTTATTGGTCGATAGTTCGAAATATCTGTGGGATCGCCTTTTTTATAAAGTAGTATGATGTCTGAGTGAAGCCATTGTTTTGGTACTCTCATATTCTAGAATTAAATTAAACAGGTCTGTTAAGAAGGTGATTATGATTGGTGCACCGAGTTTTATTGCTTCATTACTAATGCCGTCTGGGCCTGGGGTCTTCTCTGATTTTAGTTTCTTTATATGGGTTAGTACCTCTGTTTCTGTTATGGGATCTATTGTGAGATTTTCTCTTTCTGTTGGGTGTTCAATTTCTACATTTCCTATGTCTTCTTTTGTTTTCCTATATAATTTTGTATAAAATTCAGTAGCGCAGTTCATAATGTCATTTCGGGATTTTGTTTCTTTTTTTCCTTTTTTTAGTTTTTGAATCCATTTTTCATGTGTTTTAAGGTCTTTGTACGCTCGTTTTAAGCTTCGAAATTTTGTTAGTTTTTTCTTGGATTATCCTCTGTCTGTAGTTTTTGTAGTCCTCTTTAATCGATTTGTTTGTCTTTTTGAATAGATCTTTTAGTTCTTTTTGTTTTTTGCTCTTATTTTTGGTTTTTATTAGTTCTGTGCGTTTGGTTATTAAATTTATTGTTTTCTCACTCATTATTTTGTGTTTATTATTTTTGTGATTTCCTTTTTCCATTTTCAGGCTCGTTGTTATGATTTCTGCTAGTTTGTTAGAGTATGTTTCGACTTCTTTAGAGTGTTGTAATATTTCTAGGTTCATTTGTATGTTTGCTTTTAGATTGTTAAGGTATGTTGTTATTTCTTCGTCGGTTTTCGGTATTCTCGGTATGGGTTTAAATGACTTTCTACTTAGTTTGTTTGGTTTTACTTGGAAAGAAGCTCTTACTGGTCTATGGTCAGATGCAAAGTGTATTTGGTTTAGGACTTCAACATTTGTGATTCTTTTAGGTTTGTTACACATTACAAAATCTATTTCATTTTTAGTTCGTGTATCTGGTGATTGCCACGTCCATTTCCGACTCTGTTTCTTTTTGAAAAATGTATTCATTATAGAAAGTTTATTTTCATTGGCATATTCAATTAATTTTTCACCTCTTTCGTTTCGACTTCCGTATCCATATTTTCCCATTATAAGATCTTCATGGGCTTTTGTGTGTCCTATTTTTGCATTAAAATCGCCCATTACCAGTGTGGTTTTTTCTGACATATCGTTTGCTGTTTTTAAGTCGTTATAGAACTGACAAATTTCTTCGTCTGTTGATCTTTCTGTCGGGGCGTACACCTGGATCAGTGTTATAGCCTCGTCTCCAAGTTTAAGTTGCAATACAGCCACTCTTTCCGATATGCCTATGAAGTTTACTATGTTTAGTTTAAATTTTTTCTTTATTAGAAAACCGACCCCATATAGACCTTCTGTTTCTCCTATGTAGAGTAAAATGTAATCCTTGTACTCTTCAATACTACATCCCATTCTCCTTACCTCTGCAAGTCCTAAAATGTCGCAATCTATTTTTTTCATGGCGTGTGTTAATTCAAGAAATCTTTCTTCTGATGAGAGTGTTCTTACATTGTAGGTACATATCTTTATTAGTTCTTGTTTTTGTTTTTTGTTTTTATGTTCTTTGTTTTCCTGTTCTTTGTTTTCATGTTCTTTGTGTGGAGGGTAATGGTCTAATTCCCCACGGTGACCAACCGGATTGGGGAATATTGTTGTGTTTTTATTATGATTTATTTTTGTACTAATCTTATCTATTGTATTTTTTCGGCAACTATTGTTTTATAGTTTTTTGAATTTGCTATATTCTTTACTGTTTGATTGGGATTAATTTTGGAGAATTTAGTGGGTTGTTTTACAATGTCTTCTTCTTGTACTTTGCTGAAGCTATTGGGGGGTGTAGAGGGTGGCGAAGATGATGCTCTCTTGCGTTTTTCCGATTCTTGCTGGTCTTTAATTATAAGTTTTCCATGCTTTATGTAGGCATATTTTCCTGATACTCTTGCTTCCTTAAGTTTCGCATATAAAGATTTCCTTAGATCCATTTCCTCTTTAGTGAGGTCCTCTGTTATGTAGATGCCCTTGGGAAGGTGTTTTTTGTTTGTAAGTATTTCATTTCTACGCCATACTAGAGTAAATACTATCTTTATTGGTCTATTTTTGTTTTGAACCTTTTTCCCAATTCTGTGCAATTTGCTTATCTCCCACTTGTCCCATTCATGGGTTGCATTTTGGCTTTTGTTTAAGTCGTTTAGTAATTCCAGCACTTGTTTCATGAGTTCCGTATTGTTGGTTTCGTTTTCTTCTACTCCGTGCAAAATTAAGTTTGTTTTTCTAGCTTCAATGTCTAAAATTTTCACTTTAGATCTCAGAGTTGCAACTTCTTCTTTCAACACTTCATTTTCCTTCCTTATATGCGATAATTGTTCCTCAATAGTTTTGCTAATAGTCTCCTTAATGATTTGTGTTTGTTTTTCTTGTTGTTTTTCCATTTCTTCTTTCATTTTAGCCCATAACAATTGCATTTGTTTATCCATCTTGATATTATATGTTCGGTTTGATTGAATGTTTAAACCGATAAATAGTTGTTTTATTGTTGGTAACACCAATTGCCCACGTACGCGAAGTTTGTAAAGCTCATGATCTGCGGTTGGACGGACCGACCTTCCGACCAAGTCGGAACGTGTGTGGTGTGCCTTCGTCTCTAAGTAGTCTGTCACGCAAGTTGTTTTGTCTATGATAACATGTAATAACCTCAAAATTTTTCTTCGGGTTTTTGGTTGTTTTTAAATTGTTTACACTTGTCTCACTTATCTGATTGCTGAGATGTTGCACACATTTGTTTTTTTTTTCCACAATAACTTCACCAAAGCATTCGATCGATCACTTTAGCACCAAAATTGAATTTAAAATAGCGGAGGAGCAATTTCGCGATGTTTACACTTTGAGGGTTGCCAGCCGAAAAAAGGTGAGTTTAATAAAATAAAATTCTATAAATCTTGTATATCATTTTTATTGAATAATAGTGCTAAGTTGGTAATTAACAGAAATCAATAATCAAATTAATTATAATTATCATTGTCAGAAAAATTACATATTAGGTTGACTGATGTCATACTCCTTGCATATGTCGTAGATTTCTTCAGAATCTCCGGAACCAGTTGTGAAGTTTGATACAAATGACTGAACATTCTCACTATATACAGGAGACGGTATGTTTGCATTTTGAGGACTAGAAAGGGTTACTTCTGGAGATGATAATATTATGTAGGATGGGTTTTGAGGGCTAGGAGGTGGCAAAGACGCAGAATGCTGCTCAAATCGCTGTTGAGGCCGAGGACTAGAAGATGGTAACGACAGAGAACTATTAGGCCGTGTGATCATGTGATGCTTAGAATAAACTTGAGTGCAGTTCCGTAAATTGTGACTTTCTGGACAAGAAATTGTGGAGGATGCTTGATTAACTGGTCTCAAAAACTGCTGATTTTGAATTTCATTAAAAATTTGTAAAATCCTGATTTGCACATTTATTTTGTCCTTTTGAGGAACAGCTTTTAATAAAGGCACAAGGGAGAGTGTGAAACATTTGTCACTGTCGTTACTATCGGGTTCATTTTTCCTTTCTAAAGCCGCAACAAGTTGGTTATCACCCACTCTTTTTTGTTCTAGGATATCTATCAGTCTATCCTCATAAGATTTTTTTTTCACATTTCTTTTTGGTACGTTGTGGCTTGTTTGTATTTCTAGCATTATCTTCTTCTTCTGACTTACCTTCATCATCTTCATCAGGGTTATTACAGAGTTACCTGTGCCCTCTCTCATTTCCATGCTTGGGATGAGAAATAAAAGTTTTTCAAAATATCTATATGTTTTACGTTTTTTGGCTGCTTGGCCAGACTTTGTATTCTTTTGTTCTCGTAGTTCTCTGGAAAAACAAGCTCTTATATTCTTCCACCTCTTCTGTATTATCTTACCTAAAAAAAAAATAAGTTATGCAATTTTATTGATTTGTTTGTACATTAATATCGTGTAACAAGGCTATTATATTTAATTCAATTATGTTATTCTTTTTTAATTTTTATATTAAGGTTTTCTATAATAATAATATTACGTATTTTGTTACAGATATCTCGCCACTGGCACAAGCTTCTACTCTCTTTCATTTGAGTACCTACTTACTTGGCCCAACTACAATAAGAGAAATAGTTAAATCTACATGTATCCAAATTTGGAATGTAATGCAGCCTATTTACATGGCAGAAAAAAGTGAGGAAGATTGGTTCAATATAGCTGAACAATTCTATCAAAGAACAAACTTTCCGAACGTAATTGGAGCCATTGATGGAAAGCATATTCGAGTTACTCAGCCCATTCACACATTTCTTCAATTATAAGAAGTTTTTTTCAATAATTCTTATGGCATGGGTAGATGCAGATTATAAGTTTGTGTATGTGGATATAGGTGCCAATGGTGCTGCAAGCGATTCCAGTGTATTTCAGAAGTCACATATGGGTAAAAGATTACTACAAAACCAACTGAACATACCCAATGATCGCCCTTTACCAAAGGATGAAACTGGAAAAAACATGCCTTTTTGTGTGGTAGCAGATGAGGCATTTGGCCTATCAAGGAATATTTTAAGACCATACGCAAAAAAATCATTGAATACGGTAAAGAAGATTTATAATTATCGCCATACAAGAGCTCGTCGAATGGTAGAATGCACGTTTGGGATACTCAGTAATAAATGGCAAATTTTACACCGACCTCTTGATGTTCATTTAAATTTTTGTGATATAATCGTCAAAGCCTGCTGCATTTTACATAATTACGTACGATGTAAAGATGGTATTAAATTTAGAGATACTGCTTATGAATGTCCATTGGTAAGCGTTTCTACAAACTCCGCTGAAAGAACGATATTAGCAGCAAATATTAGAAACTACTTTTCAACTTACTTTATTACACCACAAGGGGCTGTTCCTTGGCAATACGACAAAATATAAATAAACATTAATTAAGTACCTTCAACCCGTCATAATTATTTCGGCAGAAGTAACTATGCGCATTTGACTCATTATCATTACACTTGGTTTTAAATTAACTTTAGCATGTTGTAGGTATGTAACGAAGTAGGTACAAAACTGTGATAAATAAATCCTTAAACTGACTTACCTGCTTCTGTTTTTTCTTTTGATGAAAGACTTCCCCAAACGTTGAAAAATACTTTACAGCACACTTCCTCCCATGCTCTGGTTTTCAATTTAATGTCAGAATAATCCTTTAAGGATTTGTCGTAGATTAATGGCCTTATTTCTATTTCGTCTATTAATATATCATTATCTATATCATCTTCATGCAAACATGCATTTTGCACCGGAGTTGACGTTGACGCCATTATTTTATAATATAAACAAGACGTTAACACGATGACGCTCGAAAGCTAACTGAGGTGTAGAAGCGCGAGGGGCAGGGAGCAAGGTGATTTTTTGTTGCTAGTGCGCGCACGGCAATTCAAACCTTCGGCCGCGGTGACAGTTGCGTCACGGGCGGACAAAAAGTAACCCACGAGTCACGTACACAAGTGCGCGCACCGTCTTATAGGTCCGTGTATGCGGTGACAGCGACGAAACAGTCACGCTGACAAAAGTCACCAGTGCGCGCATAGCCTTAAACTAAATTTTATTGGTATGAAGTGATTCTAATATAATATAATTCATTTAACACAAAATTTGTTAAGAGACAATTGATTAAAAAATAAGTTGCTTCATATATTTACTGTTTTATAAATAAATGTAGAGTATTTGATTGTTAAAAGGTTTTATTATAATTCAATACACCACATTTATTCAAAAATATAGAAATAATATTCTGTAATCGTGTAAGCATTTGGAAGAGATTTAGGAAGCGGTTTTAATGTAATTATTACTTACCGCAAGCACATTCAGGGAGAGGTACATTTTCCTGTTAAAATATGCTTCTTCATAGTCTTTAGGTCGTTCTTTGCGTCGGATGCAAAAACGGCATCAAGTCGTCGCAAAGAGTAAGGAAATTATCCTTACTCAGGCGGAACGTTTGGACAAACGTTCGTTCCGGCAGCAACATAGGCATGCTGTCCTCCCGCAACTGTCTTCTTCGCAAGGTCAGCATTGTCTTCTGGCTCTCCTCAGCTACCACCAACAGAAATATTCGAGCCATTTCTCACTAAAACAGAAAAAAAACTACAAGAGTACACAATCTTAGGTGAACAAAAGACAAAAGTAGCTATATTTTAATTTTAGAAAGCAAAATAAATTGAATTATAAATATCGTATGAAAGCATGAGATGAAAACAGTGAGTCTTTAAGTGTGTGCTTATCTGACAGCTTTAACGCTTACCCGCCATCTTGAAATCGCTTTCACTTTTTTTAGGCGTTTCGATTTCCTGTCAAAATAGTAGCGAGAAATTGAACGATGTCAATCAAAATTGTTAATGGCTGTCATCAGCCGCAAAGATGTGACAGCGTTATGGCTTTCATAGGCGTTTCCAAATGACAGTGTGACGTCATAAACTTTAGCATTTTTAAAGCAACGCGAGTTAGGCGATCAGGCCCCAGCAGGCCCCAGGCCCCAGAGCATTACGAAGGTTGACAGCCATAACTTTAGCAAACACTAGTTTAATTTGATTTAAGTATATAACTGTAATTTTATAAGTTGTTGTTAAATATTCATAACAATAAAAAATATTTCTTATGTTAGTGTTCAAATATTCTAAATTTACTTTTTATTAGCAAGTTACTAATTGGGTATAAATTGAATTTATTCATTTGAGAAAGAAAAGGGAAACCACTTGGACAAGGCTGGCTTGGAGAGCAAAAACTGGAAAAAGTTTAAGGAGGCCTTTGCCAAAAGGTGCACAGAGTTAAAAGAGTAAGTATTAAAATGAACACAATAATTTATTTTTATATAAACAATAATGTTAACTCTGAATATAGACTCTAAATAAATAAATGAAATCATTTCAAAACTGTTTCAAACTTTTTAGTAGGTACTAATCAACTTTAAAGAATAATTTCATTTCCTGACTACCCTATTGTTGAGAAGCATGGTAGACCTTGTAACTGTGGTCACACCGCTATTCAGAAACCTGCCAGTATGTCTCCAAAGACCTACTAATTTAATAACACCTATTAGCTATAACTCTTAATAGATTTTTATTCTACTTTTTTACTCAATAAACAAAAGCTGTGAGACCATGACCTAGGAAAAGGTTGCAAGGTGATAAAGTTGAGAGGGGAGCTTACGATAATAATATTCAGTAAATAAAACATTCAGTAGAATTGCTGTTATATTTTGGTAAAAAGATTACCATAATCAACTTCAGATACAAATGCAAATTATTTATTTCCATGAGTTACAATCTTATAGAACCAACCTAATACATGAGTGATATCTCTCAATGCTCGGAGCACGTCCCTCCGCAATTGCTGTTCCTCCAGTCGCCGCTCCTCGAATTTTCCCCACGTATATTAAGCTAGCAGACCATGGTCGCAACGC